CGAGCAGCCACGCGGAAGCGGCCAGTGCGAATGCCTCGGGTGCTGCGGGCGGAGCCCCCGGTAGTCGGGCCGCTCTGGGAGGTGCAACCACGCGGGCCACAGCCGCCCGAACTAGAAGAGCCTCACAAACACCTGCAAGGACACCCTGTCAGCCGGATGAGCAAGGGGGCAACGCCGCCCAGCGCCCTCGCCGCAGGAGCTCCGGAGCCAGCAGACGCCCCGCGAGCCGCCCCCGCCCACGAAGCCCCAACAGGGCTGCCTTGGCTGAAAACCCCCAGCACAGGCGCACCAGGGAGAGGTCGAGGCGACCGCGAGGGGCCCTGGGGAACACCCGCTCGCTCATCGAATTGTGGGGACACAGCGCGCGGAATGAAGCCGGCGCCTCAGCATGGACAGCGGAAGCACCTAGAGGCACCACCAGGCCAGTTCAAGGCTCTCCCAGCGCCGGGGACCAATGACCCAGACGCGCGAGGCTGCGCCCCAACGAGGCCCAGACGAGGCGACGCGACTGCACTTCAGACGAGGCCACTGCCCCACCGCAGCCCCTGGACGTCCTGCAGCAGCTCCTGGCTCACCACAAGGACGACAGCACTGGACTGTCACCCATCGCACCACCTGACACAATCCTGGCTGCATATCAAATCGCTGGGCCCGACAACAAACAGATCCTTGACGCGCTGCGCGCTTTGCAGGGGCAGGGCGCGGTCGTGCCTGGCCCCGCCAGCGTCTCCTGGGAAATCTCCGGGCAAGTGCGTTTAGAGCACGGGGCGGAGGAAGACGAACCGGTATATCCGACGCAGCAGACAGCAGTAGCAGTTGCGGACCCAAGGCCAGACCTCGGGGCAGAAGTCGGAGACAGCATTCACCTGGTCTCCCTCTCCGATGGCTGGGGGCTTGCGAGACTGGCCGTGGGGGACCTCCTGGCCCGCGTCTCCGCCAGCCAAAGGTTCAAGTCCTCCGCGTTCGTCGTCGAAATCAACGGGGCCGCCCCCGACGCGGTCACGAGGAGGTGGGGGCAGCAGCCCGCCATGGCACAGGACGGGGGCCCACCGCACCAGCGCTTGGCTGGAGACGTATGGGACCTCTTCAGACCAGGTCCCGACAGCTGCACTCCCTGGGGGCAACACCTGAGAACCCTCGACCTCAACGGCACACTGCTACTCGTGGCAGGACCCCGCTGCAGCAACCTCTCCACTGCAGGACAATGCAGTGGCGCGGACGGATTAGCAGGAACACAGTCGGTCACTTTCTTCGCGGTCCCCCTGGCACGGGCGCAGGCAAGCAGGCTGCGGCCCGATCTAAAGATCGTGGTGCGGGTGAAATGTTGCCACAATGAACAGCATGTGCACCGCCATGCCATCTGCGCAGCACTGGGCAACGTCCCCGACGACTGGGCGGTCAGGGTTAACGCAGCGGGCGCCGTGGCGAGCCCCAGAGGCAGGGCATGGATCAGCAACTGCTCCCCCGCTGGAAGACACCATCAGTTATCCGAGGCTTCCGTGCCCCTGGGAACAAAGGTGGGTCTTTAGGCCAGGCGGGTGAATCCCGACATGGACGCAGTCGCGCGCCCCTCCGTCGGAAGTGTGCAGCGACTTCGGGGGCGAGGGGGCCGAACGACTGGCGTCGCTCATCGTCAATCTGGCGATGCACAGCGCGGCGCACGTGCTCAGCTCGGGCGGCTGGGTGGAAGCCAAGGTCATCGTGGGCGTGGTCGAGAGCGAGGGCTGCGACAGGGCGTGGGCGCGCTTCTTGCGCGCCCTAGCAACGTTGCCTGCGCGCGCCGTTCAAACGCTGGGCGCCGAAATTACAGGGGGCGAAGACGACGCCGCCGCAAAGCCACCCAACTGGTGCGAAAGCTTCGGGCGCGCGCGGTCTTCCGGCGACTGTGTCACCAGCGGCCGCGAAGTCGGGGGGCCCACGATCAAGCCGTTGTTGTTCCGAGCGCGCAGGGGCCATTCATTTCGAGTGGTTGCACCCGAACGAATCTATCTCAAGTGCGACCCCCACCGCCAGGGATTCGCATGCGGCCGTCGTCGCGCCGATCGACGTCGCTTCGCTGATCCAGGCGATGGCTGGGCAGATCGCGGCCCCGGAGAAGGACCTCAGTGGGGCGCGCCAGCGCAGGTACCTCAACGTCCATCCCACGCAGAGAACCAACTGACCGGTTTTCAACAACTGTGTCGTCGATGCCGGGGAGGATGGCGCCAACGGGGCCGTGGGTCTGATCCGCTAGGGCATGGAGAGAAGGTGCGGAGAGGGCCCCGAGAAGTTCGCGCATTGGCGTGGGCCGAACGAGTGGTCCGGTGATTACGGCGCACGGGGTCTCGATGGAATCGTCTTCGACCTGGAGGATCCAAAAACGTTGCCAGGTTCCTGCAGCATGGCGCTCGCGCCCGAATGCTTTGACGCATCAGCGCTCTGGGTTATTTTGGACGGCCGCGGAGTTCCGTCCGAAGTGGAGTGACGTGCATCAGATCTTTTTTTCCATCGCCGCAGCAGAAGTCCCGGCCCCGACAGTCGCGTGGACCTTGGTTTATGACCAGCGGTTCCACGGCGTAAAGGTTGAGCCAAGACCAGGGCCAGGATGTATCGATTTGATAAAACCACATCAGTTTCCACATCGGATCGGTGGCGACGATGACGACGTCCTTGTGCCAGCGGAGCTCAAGTCGAAGTTGCTTCTGCCACCGCCGTGGGGCAATGATTACCTCGTCTGTTGCGGAGTATGCAGGAACCGCTTGGGGGCACTCTGCTGTCTTCGCTGTCGGGCGCCCGTGTTCTTCTCCCCGGAGATTGAGGCGCCCGGCGTGATGGCGCCAGCGCATCAGTGGCGCGATATTGGCATTGCCGAAGTGGTCGGAGGGGCGATCGATCAGGAGCCCGGGGCCGATGTTCCCGTCTCTGCGCCGAAGGCCACGAGGGTTGCTCCACGGAGCCGGGCCGCGGATAGAGGGGCCAAGAAAACGCGCGACAAATCGGCCCAGCCCGATGCCGGTGGAGCCATGTTCCGCCGCGACCAGGCCTTGCAGGGCAAGGCGTCATATTAGAACAACTTCATGTCTACCTTCGCTTGGCGCCTATCTCCAGGCGATCTGGCGCCGACCGATCAGAGCGGATTCAGACAGAAGGCGGCGCAAAATTGGGAAAACGCTGGATCGGGCGCCGGGCGCGCGGTGGCAGTCTGGCCGCGGGCCAGGACGCAACGGTCCAAGCGTGGACCAGGTGGCCGCGCGTAAGTAGGAGGCTGGCAACACAGCGGCAAGACCACTCCCTCCTCGAGCCCCGCGATTGGGACTACTCGCGACCTGAGGATTACGAAGCAGATGAACCCTCGCGCGGCTGGGGGCGGGGGCTCGCCAGCGCCTGTCGCCCGGAGCTGTTTCCGACGCTCGCGGATCTGCAGGCGGAGATAGAGGACGAGCTGGAACAGCATTGGGGGCCGCTGGAAGACTTTCACACTGCGGAGGGTGAGGGGGGGGGCGCCGGCATCTGCTGACTGCGTCGGCAGCGCCAGTGCCTCTGGCATCCGCGGCGAGCTGGGCGGGGGGCGCCCGTCGTCGACCCGGCCCGGGGGCCGCCCGCCGACGGCGCGCGCGCAGGGGAGGTCAAGGTCATGGAGGCACTGGGTATTAGAAGGGGTGAAACGTGGCGGCAGCCAGGGGCCGCAAATCGGCAGGCTGCGATGCGTTGCCGAGATGCGGGGCCCACGCTATGGGAGCCCCCCTCCAGGCTAACAGTGTCGGCAGCAGTATCATCGTTCTCCGCCCCAGACCCCGCGGCGAGGAGGTGCCGGTGCACGGGCGCCCGTCCGGATGAGGGCCGCTGAGGAAGAATAATATGACCCGCGCCCTCCGTGGCGCTGGGGCTCGCGGAGCCGCTGGCCCTCTTGGAGCTCAGGGCGGGGCTCGGGCGACGGGCGCAGATGTCGCAGCAGCTGGGGCCGCGACGATCAGCGGAGCGAAGACTGGCGCTGATGATGAGAGACAGGCTGGGGACATCTCGGAGCTGTGCTCTGACTGTCCTCTGGACGTGTTGGAGCTGTGCTCCGAGCGTCCTGGCGTGGGCCGCGGCGTGACGGCGGGCCTTGATGGCCTTATGGGCCGATCGCTGGGCGGCGTGTGCCAACGCGCTCGTGCCTACGTGGGGCTCGCCAGCCTGTTTCGGCTTGTCCCCGAGGGCCGCGTCAGGAGTGCTCCCTTCCCTGCCGCGGGCGCCGTGGAGCGTTTTTGCATTTGGCGCCGCGGGGGCCGAAGTGCCATGGATGGGGGCGAGGAGAAGTCTGACTCCTGGCTCTAGGGGCGTGCCGAACTCGGGCTGGCGCGTCCCGTTGCAGCTTCGGGCGCTAGCTAAAGGCTGACGTCCGCCCGTGCTTGGAGTCCCCGCGCCGGGCTGGCCGCGGGGGGAGTCATTATCTGCGCTCCTCTCGTGTGTTCTTTTGCTGCGCCGCAGTTGCCCTCCAACTGAGGGTTGGCGGCGCCGTCTGATAGTAACATGGCGCTTGCTGCTTTGGTCACTGCAGATCTTTGTGCTCAGAGTACAAAGAGCGCGCGCGCCCCACCCCCCGCCCGGGTCGGGCGCTCCCGCGCTCCTTATGTTCAATTTCCCGAGACGTCACTTGTGGACCACTAGTAAACTGTGACCTGTCAGGACATTCAGAGCAATAGCTTATCAACTTGATCAAAAAAGTGCCCGAATCCAGTACTAATAGGCAACATGCTGATGATGGTGATGATGATGATGAAGAACGGGGGCTGGCGCGGCTGATGCTGATGGTGATGGTGGTGATGATGGTGCTGCTGGTGATAGTGATGACGACGACGATGATGAGGATGGTGATGTTGCTGCTGACGATGATGATGGTGAGGCGGAGGAGGACGGAGGACGGAGGACGGAGGAGGAGGAGGAAGAGAAAGAGGAGGAGGGAGAGGAGGAGGAAAAGGAGGATGAGGAGGAGGAAAGGAGGAGGCTCTTCTTTCTCTTCCTCCTACCCATCGCGGCAGGACCCCCGCCCCACCATGACGAAGATCGCGTGCGTGCCGGGGTCGGTCCCGTCGGCGCTGTCCTGGGGCTACGCTGGGATCGTGGCGGCGGGCAACGACCGCGCGGCGCGGCCATCGGGATGGTGGTTTTCGTATGCTTGGGGCCTCCAGAGACCACCGAAGACCGCTGGGAAGGGGGAGGGCCCTTGGGAGGGTTTTCGGAGGTTTCGGAAATTATTGGCGGCTTTCGGACCCTGGGGTGTTTTCCATGATCTGCGCGTCGTCGGGAGCCGTCTGGGGAGCTCAGGCTCGTCCCGAACGGCCGCCTGATGCCCGACTTAAGACCCGAAGGTTAGACAGGGCGAGCGGAAGGAGGAGGAGCAAAAGGAGGAGGAAGAGGAGGAGGAGGAGGAGGGAGAGGAAGAGGAGGAGGAAGGACAGGGCAGGACAGGACGACGATGATGATGTTGATGACGATGCTGTTGATGATAATGATGATGGTGATGATGATGCTGCTGATGATGATGATGGTGATGGTGATGGTGATGGTGATGG